TTGGTAATTGACTTTCCTCAAAACTCGATGGCTAACGTTTCGACGGCAACGCCTTCGCCAGAGCCTAGACGTATGTGTCATACGATATCTGACATTTCGGTTAATATTTCGCACATATCCAATTTCCAATAGAAAAAAAAATCAGCAGTCTAGTCAAATTGGAAGGACCCACCTTATTTAATTTTATATGAGCGGTACCGGTTCACTGTGACGCAATTTGCAAAATAAATTGCATTCAGGCTAGAAAATGAATTTGAGGATATCTGAGTAATACATATGTTTGCTCTCACTTGTCAATATGGCGTCTTACCTAGATCGTTAGTAATGCTAAGTATCCAATTTTCGAATTCTTGTAAATCCCAAACTAATGGATGCTTACTTAGCGGACCAAGTAGAAGTGCAAAAATTCAAACAACTCTATTATTTCTCATCATAGTATAGAAACACAACTAAATATCTTCAACTATGGTCATTTTTGGTTGTTTCATTGGAACATGAATAAAATTTTCACTTCAGCATGTTGATGGATTTCCAGCATTTCCGTCAGGGTTCTTCTTCCGAACACCGATGCAAGTAAAAAGGCTATCTTGCTAAACATTACCAATTTCTCCAAAACAACTTTGATTAGTATGTAATTTACTGTATATTTGTAGGTTTGAGGAAAAAAAGTTTCGCTTTTGAACAGTATTCGCTTACTATCCTAAATTTCCACTGGCCATGACTACCGAAAATCATTGTTGTAAGAATTCATTCAAACTGTCAGTACTACTTTGTCAATTCTATTTAGCCACTGTATAAAATTCAAAGAGCCAAGTAATACTCGTGATAAATATTTTTAAGCCATGCATGTGATCTGCTATGGGCACTTATGCAAAGCAATACACGTAATTCGACCTTTCAGCCTCGTCGGATGCACAGTGCCCTTCATCTGACCCAATCCCTTTTTAGGAGAACCCCTTATATAGAGGAATCTCAGACGTATTATCTACACGCGCTGTCAAGTGATAAAAATCACCGATCTGTCAGCGTTGTACACTTGATTGCTCGTGGCTGGTAATCGTGAAATATCATACCATTCGCTTCGAAGTGTTTCTCAAGAACACGCTCAAATTTCTACAAAGCAAAAAAAGCTCTCGGCGTGGATCAGTCCCTGAGCCATGCATTCGTCTTCAAATTTTTACTTCGCTTGATGTGATTGAATGCATATGTGGCCCCTACAATGACTCAAGGAGGCATCTCGTTAAACCGAGTCAGTGCTGCTTATTCTCCCACACAAGTCTGAGACCATTCTGATGCCAATTTAACGACCCAAGGATGGATGGCTTGGTGAGCCATGAGCGCAAGATCGATCCACTGACCTCGTGTGCGACGCAGAGCACCTCTAACAACTTCGCCTCATGCGCTCTTCAAGTTTCTGCATGCCTAATAGTTATTTTAGACACTTCTCATTCAGTGATTTTAATCAGTTGACGGCGCGTGTAAATGTCATGTTTGAGATTTCTCTATGCAAGAGACTTCTGCTTTGAAAAGGATTGTCTCAAACAAGGCATCGTGCAACTGACAAAGTTGAAAGGCCGAAACAGGTATATTGCGCTGTATAAATGCCATAACACACCACATTCATGGCTCAAAACTAATTATGTGGCAACATGAAATATGAACGTGGTCTTGAGAAATACTCGAAACGAATAGTACGATGTTTCACGATTATGAAGTAATACTGCTTTGTACCTTCTCCATACTTTTCTTAAATCTTCTAAGCCACCTTCGCTAACTCAGTAACCTTGCCGAAAATTTTCACATTAGGTATCTTAAAAAAGGTAGTGTTTCATCTGCGATTGAAATCAACTCTTCAACAAATGCAAGTTGTATCGTAATCATGAGAAATCATTCCAAGAGAAAAAACTTTTGTTGTAAAAATGAACATTAATATCTAATCAAAATATTTTTCGCAGGAATCAAAAAACATATCTCAATAAAAGCGAAGTAAAAATGATTTAGAAATGTAACGAACGGCACGTTAAAGCGTTTCGAAGAAGCACTTCCGGATTAAGAAAAGATTGAGCTGATCATACTAGGAAACAAAGCGAGGTGTAATATATCTAGAAGCAATCTATCAACCTTCAAAACTCATGTTACTTCCTCTGATTTCAAAAGCAAAGTTAGCTACCTACAGTCGCTTGACAAATGAATCCCTTCGCTCTAACCTTTGGAGGCCACCGTTGAAAGGCAGGACAGCATCGCGCCGTCGCTCATCTCGGCAGTTGATGCAATCGACTCTGCGATTGGAGCACGTTATCTCGCTAAAAATGCAGTTCCATAATGGTACAGACTCTCTTCTTCATTCAATAGATTTTGTCGTCACTAAAAGATGGAATTAAATAGAAGAGACTCCAGTAAGGCTCATTTTAGCTTAAACATGCCAGAACAAATACGAAACAACGCTTCTCATTAGAAAATGAAACTGCAGATTGCAATGAAATGCCAGTTCACATTTCTAAAATTGAAAATGCTATTCAAAATTTTCTGTTGAATAAATACCAAAGGATAATGAATAACCTCTTGGCGCCAACCGATCTCTGAGAATGCGCAGTGCATTCGCCTCCAATTGTTCCAGATTCTTCTGAGGTGATTGAATAGATATCTGGCCTTTACAATGACTAGCAGTGGCCTACCGATGTACCAAGTTAGCTGCTGCTATTCTTTCAACAAGTTTGGCACTGATTTGTTGACCCCGAAAAGATGGAAAGCTCGTTGAGCTATGAGTTTGAGATTGAACTATCGACTTGTGTAAGGTAGAGAACACCTTTAACCGCGCCACATGCGCCCTTGAGCCGAAAAGTTTTATTTTTCTTGTTGGCAAAACATAGTTCGAATTCTCCTCACAAATAAGATTCAGTATTGAAATTTCCAATTTTCGAGCTGTTGAATCATGACTATTAGTGCATAGTGAAAAAGCTCCGTTGAGTGAAAAAGGAAAGGAGATGAAAATATTCCACAAAATGCGACTGCATTCCATTCAATTCATAAGGGATAGCGAAAATTTTCAGAAAACCTGGACGCTCTTCTCGCAGAAAATACGTGCCCATGAATCCCTCCAGCAATAATCTATCCTAATTTATTTACTACATAATGCCAAAAATTCCGCTGTGAAGTGGAAACAACAAACTGCGATTGCAAAACGACCTTTCATGATTAATAAAACGGAGTGTGAAAGTGGAACAAGAAACCAAGCTTGGTATGAAAATCGAAAGTTTTCAGGCTATTGAATGACTGACTACAAGCATAGACTTAGAAAAACAGAAACGTAGTTGCAGCGTAGATAATGGTGATAAAATAGGCATAGGTTGTGAAACGGAATAGAGCACGCGCCCTCAATTAGAGTAACATGAGGGATCGAGCCCCGTTTGACAGAATTGCAAAAGTGTCTCTCTATCTTTCTATGAGTAGTATGTACTTTAATTGTGTTTATATTGTAAATCATTCTTCGATATATTCCCCAGTTACGCGTTCATATTTTGAAATAAAAATAAACCTGCAATGAGCTCATGAATCGGACTTGCTAATGAAAGTGCAAAACGTAATTTTCGCTTTGCTTTCAAAGCTCTCTATAAAACTCTTCTCACAGCCTATGCTCAGTTTCAGAACTAACAAGATTTATTCAAACAAAGGGCTACTAACGCTCAGTGAAGAGCTATCCACAAGTCAAAACCGACCAAATAAAGCAAACCGACTGTTGAACATAGTTTTGTTCTTTTTCATAAAGAAAATTAAGGCCTCTTCGTAAACGAGGAGTAGTGCTGGAGATGTCAAGCTTGAACACTTAGAAGATTTCAAAAAACCTAGGCAAAATGCTACGTTTGGCGGATGGAGCTCTTCTAGAAGTCTGTGTAATTTCGAAGATATTAGCCGTCCCAAACTAACTGTCGTAACTGTCGCCTTGAGCTATGGAGACTCTAAGAACTAAAGAAAAACGTCCATGACAGGACGTCAAGACTCTAAGAGCGTAATCGAGATATGCTCAGAAGACTGATCAGCAAGCTCCACATTTCGATGTTCACATAGTTTCTAGTCGGCTTTCGGGAAAGACTTTTACTGACTGGCATCATTTTAGGAGAAAAAGGATAAAAAAATGTTGTTTACGTAGACCGTCGTCGTGTTTCATATAGCGCTACATCGATACCACTCAGTGCTGTCGTTGTAGTCATCTCGAAACCGAATCCGTCACGTGTCACTTTGCCAACCAGTGGCTGGGTGTAGCCGATTGCGTCTTGATTGAACGACGACGTGAAGCAGAACTTCTGATCAGATCGCCCTCTAATTAAATGAGAGACAGGTCGCAGTCAGTAATTCATATCCGGATGGAATGCATTCGCATGTCGATGAGAGACGTGAGAGACACCGCAGCTTGATAATTTGCAAATGCTCGCACTAAATCGGCTTCTCGTAATCTGTATCACAAATACAAGTGAATAAAAATAGAAAAGAAAGACAATGTACATGATTGATCAGTAATGCCTAAGTTAAGAAAAAGTCGGCTTTGAAGTTGATATAAATTTCCAGGCCATTCAATAATTATGCAGACTGCTGCAGCATGGATTGTCCGGAAAAACAAACAATACCACTGGACATTCACTGACAGCAACCACCATCCTCTATATAGCCGAGTGAGGTTTCTCATGAGTAGTGCCCACCAAAAAGAAGCGACTCGATCGACAACGAAGACGAAGACCGGAAGGAGCAGGAACGACTGAGGGTAATTGACTCGAATCAACGGCCTTGAAGAAGACGAACCACGTCAAACGTTAGCCGAGTAAATCGCTTTCCAGTATCTTCGTGCTACAGACTCAATCAACAAAGATGTGATTGCTTAGTACTGCCGAAGTTAAAGATCCGCTTGTACTTTTATTAAAAGGAATCAAATCATGGATGGATGAAGCCTTGAAACTCAGGGCGTAAGCTCATACCCATTGATGTAGTAGAGTGATAAACAAATCTTCAGCACCAGGTGAGACTCGAACCCACATCTCACTCTATCCAAGAGCGCATGCTCGAACCCGTTGCACTACTGACGCCCGTTTGGCTCACCACAGTGCATGTATCAGTCAACAACGAGCCGTGCGGTCTGGCCCATGCAGTCGCTTATCGACATTTAACCCATTCACTTTGACAGATATTGGGTATTAGATGGTCAGATATAACATCTCTTTATTTAACCGCCGCTAGACGAGGTCAAATATCACCAACATCACATCATATCAATATCACCTGTGTCACCTGTCGTCCCGTTGATCGTCGAGTGACTCGAGCGGGTACCAGCAACTCTTCCATTTTTCCCTATCGCGTGCAAGAGTAGCCCAGTGGGTCCTCCTTGCTCTAGGGATTCGCTGAGCATCATATCTTTCTTCTATCGCTTTCGTGAAGAAATCGGACCAACGGGTCAGTGGTCTTCCTTTAGAGCGCTTGACGTCCCGAGGAATCCAGTCGGTAACGGCTCTGGTCCATCGGTTGTCGTTGAAGCGCATCACGTGTCCGGCCCACCTTATTTTCGATATCCTGGCGTGTAGAACAGCGTCTCTAATTTTCGATCGTTCACGTAGGTCTGAACTTCTGATCCTTTCTCTCATTTGCGAGATACGGGATACTCCTAGCATCAACCTTTCGACTGCGCGTTCGATAACGGCAAGTGATCTTTCATCCTGCTTACGTAGCGACCAGGTTTCTGCTGCATACGTTAGGGCAGGGATAATTGTCGAGTCGAAAAGGTGGGCACGGAGTCGGATGTTCTTTGTCCTCCTCACTACATCTTCGATGCTCTTAAACGTTCCCCAAGCCGCTCGTTTCCTCCTGCTCAACCCTGGAGCTAGGTCGTTCATCATGTTGATTTCACGACCTAGATAGACGTAACTGGAGCATTCGGAGATTGTCGTTCCGTTGAGCGTGAATGGGGCATTTAGAAACCCATCCGTTCCTCATAAACATTGTTTTCGTTAGTTTCAGTTGAAGACCAATCTTTCCACAGGCGTTATCGAAATCGGTCAACATTCGTTCCGCTTGAATGATGTTTGGTGTTATGAGAACGATATCGTCAGCAAAGCGAAGATGGTTTAATTGTCGACCGTCAATTTTCACTCCCATTTCGTCCCATTCTAATGTTCGCATGACGTTTTGTAGGGTGGCAGTGAATAGTTTTGGCGAAATTGTATCGCCTTGTCGAACCCCTCTTCTTACGTCAATGGTGATATTGTTGTAGAATGGAGATATTTTGGTCGTGAAATCTTTATAAAGCTCACGAAGGATCATTATGTACCGAGTAGGGACGCCCTGGTCATCCAGAGCCTCTATAACCGCTTCTATTTCCACTGAATCAAAGGCTTTTTTAGATCGATGAAAGTGAGACGGAGTGGTTGTTTGTACTCTCGTGAAACTTCAATGAGTCTTGTAATCGTGTGGATGTGGTCTATGGTACTAAATCCTTTTCGGAACCCTGCTTGTTCGCATGGCTGTCCTTCGTCGAGTGTTCTGTCAATCCTGTTTAGGATGACTCGAGTAAAGAGTTTATAGACAGCGGACAACAAGCAGATTGGGCGATAATTGCCTATGTCGTGAAGGTCTCCCTTTTTGAACAACAATACGGTCTTGCTGGTTCTTCATTGAATAGGGACCTTGCATTCTGACAGGTAGCGAGCGAAGAGCCGAGCCAGGGTGTTGATGAGAACTGGCGGCAGATTCTTCAGGTGTTCTGGTCTAATCCTGTCTAGACCGGGTGTTGTTCTGTTCTTCACCGACGATATAGCATGTCGGATTTCGGAAGAGAGGACCGGTGGGACGACATATTCGTCCTCTTTCAATTTATATGACGGTAAGAGAACATGGCTAGCGAAGAGATCCGAGTAGTATTGGTGGATGATTTTCTCCACAGCCCTTCACGAAGCTGTAAGTGTCCCGTCAAGGTATCGGAGTGCAATCATCCTGGTCTTATAGTTGGCGAAGCCTCGGTGGGCTTCGCGAATGCTCTTCGCAGCTTCTGCAGCTTCTGCCATGACTGCTGCTATTCTCTCTTTTAGGTCTGCTTTTATCGCTTCTCTGCAGCATTTCGCAAGTTCGGAGCAAGGTTTTGGTTGCCTGTAGCTCGTGCTATTCCACGTTGACGTATCAGCTTGAGTGTCTGCGAAGACAAGCGTCTCTTCGTGACCTTAGAACTCTCGGCTTTTATAGCGCAAACGTGAAGATATTCAAGGAGTCGATCGTATTCTTCGTCGATGTTGTCGACAACGGTATCTTCCCAAGAGCCGACTAATGATTTGAATACATCCCAGTTTATGGTAGTTCTGGGACTTCGTTGTTTGAATTTAGCGGCTTTCTCTCCTCTCCTCGAAAATCGGAACGTTGCGCGAAGAAGGCGATGGTCTGATCCCGTGTAGCGCTTAGGAACAACAGCGACGTCGGTCAGGCAAAACCTTCGATTTACTATGATGTGATCTATTTCGTTATGGTACTCTCCATTGCGAGACTCCCACGCCCATCGCTGAGAAAGAGGCTTTTGGAAATGCGAGTTACCATGGATAGTTTGGGTCGTCATGATAATCTTAGATAGCCTCTCACCCTGCTCATTCCATTCTAGTCCGTGGGTCCCTATGTGACGTTCTTCAGACGTTCTTCTAGGTCCAATTTTCGCGCTGAAATATCCGACAATGACCTTGAAGAGTATATGATCTTCTATGAAGAATTTTTCGAGGTCCATATGGAACGCTTCGACTTCGTCTTCGTCATAGCTTGATGTTGGTGCGTAAGCAACGAAGATGGTTAAAGCCGGCATAGAACCACATCGTTTCAACCGTAATCGTCCGATACGGGTTGTTAGTTGTTCGAACGAATCAATGCTCACGGTCAAATTCGATTTGACGAGGGCTCCATCGCCGCCGACACCTTTGCGATCGCATGTTCCAAGGAACAGTTCTTCTCCGGTGTCATAAACCGCGTGAAGAGGAGGGCGCCTTCTCGTCTCAGCCAGGCCAATGACGTCGTACCTTATTCTTCCTGCTTGAATCAATAGATCTTCTACAGCGGATTCGTGAGGGGTTCTTGCGTTGTAGGTACAGATCGTCATTTTAGTCCGCTTTGATCTTGGCAGCCTAGTTTGGCCCTGAGATTTTAGCAGCCTCTCCGTACTCGTCCTACCTGGCGCTGCCGTACCAGGAGCTCTTTCGGGTTCAGGGGAATGAGGCCCATATTTGTTGCTGTTTTTGGCATTTTAATGCCCAACGTATAGCTTGCCAGGCTCTGAACGTGGGGGCTGGGTACTCACGAGTAACTTGCCACTCTCTCTCGAAGGTGCGGGAGGAGCTTATTTGTTTGAGGCGATTCCTAACCGCCTCCCATGTACTTCCCAGCCGCTTGATTGCAGGCGTTTTGGCCGACTTGACTCGTAGAATTAGAGTTTTTGTCAAGTCGGCGCTGCAGAAGCAGGGAGCTCGTCCCCTGAATCCACCTGCGTCTCTGGGAAGCACACGGTCGCTTTTGGTTCGCGTTTTATTCCCCTATCCACCACTTGGGGACGCGCCACGTGCCCTCGCGACTAACCGGGCGGGATCCCTCAAAGAGAGAGGTCCGTGAAGGTCAAATAAAAGAGGTCAAATTAAAGGATATTGTATCCGATCACCGTAAGCTTACACTTCTTCGATAGTTCCAGTACTATAACTGCTTTTAATAACAAGTCTGTAAGGTTCTTAGTAAGAATTTCATCATCTCATAACCACATGATCTCACTGCTAAGAGGAGACGTGAGACGTCATTCTCATGATAAAAGATAGAACTCTTCCTCCTACTGTGCTAACTGATGAAAATTTCTAAACTAATACTGTTATAAAAGATATTGTTTGCGCTGTTTTCCTAGAAAACTGCAAGAAAACCGATTATCATTAACAAAATCGCCTCAGTCCCAAACCGTTTTCGCATTTTTATATTGAAGATGTTTGAAACAAATTTTTCAAACTTCGCTCGCCTACCGTATGACAGTCACAGATTGCACACGGTCAGTCAGTCAATAACTGAGCGCTCGAGTTCTCGTTTACGTCGGCAAGTTGGGACAATCCTATTGCAACGATAATGAATACAATACTGGTTTTTTGATCGTTGCTAATCTATAGGTTACTACGTAATTAGAAATCGTTAGTAGACCATTGCCGTTTCGATTTAATGACAGTAATTACAGGTAATCCAGTTATATTCAATGATCTGACAGTTTTACCGTGGAAGACGGTGCACTTTTTTCATACTCAACACTACTGTACATCAACGTCTTCAAACTGCTATCAGTGGTGCTCTACGAGATTTAACAGCACTTTGCTCAAAACGTCTTTGACAACTTTATAAACAGGTTCTAAACTGCTTAGATCCTTCTGTTTTTCTTAACTGGCACTCGGATTGACTTGCTTGATGTTTTATTATTATGATCTACAAAGGACAACAGAACTCCGTGTTTCAATTTTCGTTTTCATAAGACTCTCAAAAACTCTCGTTTCAGCCTATTTCAATCGTTTTTGACCATTTTTGAAATTTACTGTCTCTCCTGACGATCTCACCTTCATGAACGTTTACTTCATTAGTTAAGTCTATGTTGTCAGCTCCATGACTCGTCGCTTGGGTATATCAGAAGCTGAATGTTTCTTTCACAAGGGTACGTATGAGTAAGCCAACTATAAGAACTGCCGTAATCTGGACAGAAGCCAAATTTTGTGAAAAAGCGTAATTGATGTGATAGTAAAAGTTCCAATAACTATGAGGCAACAGTTTTTGGTTGACATTGAGAATTCCACGAGTGATGGATTAAGGACGTTTGAGTGCTCAAGGAGCCAGTAATATATAGTAACTTGGTAATGTTTTGTTGTGAATTTATTGGTTATCCTTGGGAGATGATATAATACTGAGTATTGGAAAATACCGTGAAGTCAGGGGCAGTCTGAGTGACTCGGCTCCATCTGAAGGGTAAATCAATATCAGCGGTTGCATTCTTCCCATATACTAACCATTGATATGTGATTACCAACATACACATCGCAGAACTTCTCACGCA